ACGTGACGTTATAAGAATCTAGCGAAGGAGTGGTCGTACTTTCGTCATTTTCAGGTATGCTATCCCAAAATATAATCTTTTAAAGTAGAAGGTTATCGTTCACAACACACGCAAACGCACACGCACTTGCACATGATCACGCACTGAAATACACACACAAATACAACGCACACATACACAAACACAACCACAAACACATATTTATGTATAGCACCTATGTATATACAATAGTAAAGTCATTTATATACACCCATACGTAAACACTCAGTCTCCTATCTGCAAATACACGTTAAAATGTCCCTAGATATTCAAACGTTGGCATATCCCTGTGTGTACCTGCATACGTGCGCGCGTGTGGGGCCATCCCATCATGACTGTCAGATAATACAGGAAGTAAATATTGTTTTTTAGTTTCTTTTTATGCATATTTCACGTCCTGGGTATTTTTGTTCCCGTGGTGTTACTTTTTCCGTTGTTTGTTGTGATCCGAAAATCCGTATGACGTAATATGTGTTTGCGTATTAGTAAAAGTGATGTACATATTCTAATAACACACTGTTGTACGTATGTCTAATTGCATAGACGGTATGTATGTTCTAAAACAGTCATCACAGATGTAAAAACATTTTACATATTCGATTAACAAGTGCATGATAGTTAGGCCATTAACTTTTTCATGCATGTTTGTCTGCATGACCCTTCAATGACGTCATTACCTCCATAAAAACAAACTTACTACGCCATTCACAATGATGAATAAGCCACTATAACTGACCACACAAGGTTAAGTCACTGTACACTAGACCCTAAGACGAGGCCACTGTATGCTACACCTAACCTTGTAATAAACACTCACGGATAGATGGCTGAACGAGAATAAACAAGCGGAAGGAGAAATGGCGTTTAAGCATGTAAACAAAACACAAAAGATCTTTCCTGTCCTTTGTACCTTTCCTGTAAGTAACACCGTGGATAATACCGTTCGTGAAGGTGGTATAGCTGTGAATAGAACGTATTTCAGAAGGGTTGGCAATAAATAGAGGGATTTAAGACGTAAGGGGCAAAGAAATAGACGTATTTTGGGTACACGGGCTGGGTAGATTTACGGCCATTTTGTTCGAGCGATAAGACCGATTACTCACGGATTAGGAGAGATTACTCATTTACTCAACCTTTGTTCGGCCGAGAGAGGTTACTCAACGTCTGGCGAGGAAGAGGATTTGGTACGGAGGTTAACTAAGGGTTTTCTTGACGGTTTGAATATTATTAACCGGTATTTAGAGAATACATCACTGAGTTTTGTTAATATGTGAACCGTCAGTTTCGAATCGTATCCGAAGCACATGATGATACGAATAGGATGCTAGTATTGCGGATACAAGATTCGAAACTGGCGGTTCACATATTCGGAAACAAAAAACAAGCGATGAACTTGAAAGTAGAGAGAACTAGACGCTTTATCGTTATGAATATGACGAAAAAGAAATGTATATTTCAACAACACAGAGTTTCATTTAATTTCGTCGCCGATACCACCATTTTAGTTCCTTCTTAAACCTCCAACATTTGTTCTTTCTTTAACCCCCCCCTCCCCCCCCTTTCCCCTCTACCTCTCGAGCTCATTCCTCTCCAGCATGACCTTGCTGGTCACTGAAGCTTGACAAATACCCCTCGTTTTTTCCCCACTTAGGTCATCTCACTGCATTCTTCTGATTGACGTAATCTTTATCTACTCTCGACGGAGCCATCATTAGGTCTTGGAATATTATTCTCTCTCTTCCTTCTTTCGTCTTTATGCTTCTCCCCGCCTCCCATCTCCCGCCCTTATCATTAGCGGTCTCTTTGCCGTCGCTCTCTTCGCCTTCGTCAACGGGATGCAATAACCATTTGGGCGTCGTGGGCGCGAGGGGGCGAGGGGTGGGCGGGAAAAGGAAATTCTCTCATCAAAGTGAGATGTTTCAAGGTCGCCCAGAAGTGACTGGTACGTTTTTTTATTTATCTTTATTGGTTTTGTATTCCGTCTAGGATTAAATTGAGTTATGAGTGCATTCGCACACGAGTAAGTTCACGGATATACAGAGCAGGTATTAACGCTTACACCCTCCCACACACACATGCACACTCACACCCACACCCACACACACACACGCACACACACACACTCTCTCTCTCTCACACACACACACGCACATACACACACACAAACACGAGCACAAACATACCCGTACATACAAATACGAATACTCACACGCGCTCAAACACAAACACCATCAACCAGCAGACGCGAATACTCTCCTGCATAACAATATCCCCTCCCCCCTCAAAAAAAAAAAAAGAAAAAAAAAGAAAAAAAAATGCACCCTTACATTCCAACACGCGCAGTTACAATATCAGCTTAGCATCAATTTTTTCTTTCTTTCTTTCTTTTTTTTTCTTTTTTTTTTTTTGTTAGTGGCGCTCCCTGTGCCCATTCCTACCATGACTGGTTGGGTCGTCGAGA